GTGTGCTCTACGATCTCCTCCTTCAGTTTCTTCCGGAGGTCGTAGGATTTCACAAGGCAAGTTATGTACTCAGGGTGGCGAGACAATGCGTTAGCGACTCGATTGTAACAACCCTTTTTGTGTCTCAATTCAAAATCAAAGATGTCAATCTCATGAAACCTGCGAAGTAAGGTAGGGGACAAAGTAGTCTGCATTTTGATCCACTTCAAGGTCTCATGATCTGAGAACACTTTGAATTGACGTCCCAAAGGGTAATGTTTCCAGTGATCCAACGCCATGCGCAAAGCGTAAAGCTCGCCCATGTAGGTGGAAGTGGCTACCTTTACGCTGGGCATGCGTTTGCTGTAGTACTCGAGTGGCCACATGCCATCGCCGTCATCTTGTTGCAGCACTGCACCGATCCCATACTGACTTGCATCCGTAGTTACTACGAAGGTCAGTTTGGGGTCTGCAATGCGGAGTACCGGATAACTTACCAAGGCTTCCTTGAGAGTTCGAAACGCTTGCGTACACGCGGCATCCCAGGAATAAGACACACTCTTGCTGGTTAGTCGCGACAATAGATGAGCAATGATAGAAAAACGGGGTACAAACTTCCGATAGTACGACGCGAGACCAAGAAAAGAACGCAATTCACGAATGTTCACAGGCTGAGGCCAATCGCGTATGAGCTCAATCTTGGTTGCCTCAGGCTCTAGGCCTGCAGCAGACAACCGGTGCCCAAGATAGATGACGCTATCCCTCCCAAACTCGGATTTCTCCAAGTTGAGATGGAGCTGCGTCTTCTTGAGGATGACAAGTACCTCCTCAAGATGCTTGAGGTGTTCCTCCATGGACTTGCTGAAAATTAGGATATCGTCCAGGTACACTACCACGAACCGGCCAATCTGTTCGTGGAGGACCCTGTCCATGAAGCTTTGGAACGTGGCTAGTGCGTTCGTAAGACCGAAGGGCATTACGGTAAACTCATAGAGCCCATCGCGCATCTTGAACGCAGTTTTGTGCTGGTCCGCAGGATCGACTTCAACAGCGATTTCGTCAAAACGGACATTTTATATTTTTTGAATAAAATTGAAATTGTCATTTTTTAGATGATTGAAGTGCAAAAACCATTCCAAATGGGCGTTTTGGTGTGAAGGGTAAGGGGTAAGGTATAAGGATTAAGGTATAAGGGGTAAGGTGTAAGGGGTAAGGTGTAAGGGGTAAGGTGTAAGGGGTAAGGTGTAAGGGGTCAGGTGTAAGGTGTAAGGTGTATAGTGTAAGGTGTAAGGTGTAAGGTACCATGCAAAGGGCAAGTGACACAGTGCACCGAGGAATAATTAACACTTTATATACATTGTTTTTTGTCAAGCGCCACCTCGTGCCAACCACGTCCGCTCCCTTCGCAATCATACTACATAATATCACGTACACACTACTCACGAGCCACTGTGTCCAATGTCATCCGACGACGTATCGCGGGTATGTCATCTGCGGTGAAACAGAAAGGCGGAAGTTGGCCCCGTGCCAAAAGTGACGCGTACGTGAGTACAAAGACCCCACAATCGTTCGTGTCATGTTGCTTTGGAATGCCCTCTACATTCCATATGCGATTGAATGGTCTCGTGTCCACCTCTTTGCCTTGCGATTTCGATCTTTCGAATAAAAACTTTGCAAACCCGCCGGTCACTTTTAAATCGAACTCCTTGTCGGGGTCGAGGGGGTCGTAGAATTCGAATTTCCTCCTCCTCAAGTCAGCCACGACCAAGGTCCAATGGTGCTGATGTGCGATATCGAAAGGAGCAATAATCAAATCCATTTCACTTATAATTACATCCTGGTACCAGCGTTCAACCTCTCGGCCTCTATATCTCATGTCATTATCGAAAAGTTTGACAAAAAAAAACGAGCTCAGCACTTATACTCTGGGAACACGACCGTTTCCTTCTCTAATGACTATCTCATTATCCACGTCGCATTCTGCGTGATGTATTCAACAACAGTTTCCTTCTCTAATGTATCCATGTTGAGAGGAAAGCGATGAGTAGCGAAGAAGTGAAGAAAGAATTGGCGGGATTCGCGCATCTGGTTGCCGTACCGATTGATCGTAACCCCAGCGCCACTCTAATCATCTGCCCGGTCCTGTACTTGCATGCGTGCCAGATGCTATTTAATTGGAACCCGAGCTACGAGCCAGTGGAGCAAGGAGAAAACCGGATCATTTCACGAATAAAGGAGGAGTATACCAATCTTGGGATGAACAACGTTGCCGCGTGGGGGAAGGGAGGGAAGATCGGACAAGCATACGTCCTACCTAAGGATAAGGATTTAGGAAGGTGGAGACCGATCTCCCCGGCGACTCATGACCCGGCAAAAGTCGCTGGATCGAGGGTAGGAAGAGCCATCAGGTACATGCTGTTCGCTCTCTGTGACAATGATCACTTCAATCTACGCTCTACCGACGAATTAAGGGAGAGATGTCGCAACATTCAAACGCATCTGCGGGGGAAAGGGAGCAGTGGGATAGGGAGGAGCTACGACGTGAAAGATATGTTCGCGAAATTGACTCATCAGAGGGTATTGAATGCAGTAAGATGGGTGATCGATAGGCATATAAGAAAGGGCATGAGGGGGATCCGGGTGAGCCAGAGAGGAAGGATTTGCATGATGGCAAGAAACCTGTGGAAGAGTGATGGTATTATCCTACTGAGTTTTGACAAGATTATGAGTGCGGTCGTTTTTGAACTTAACCATGCGTACGTACAATGTGCAGGACAGTTTTTGAGGCAGACCTCGGGGATACCCATGGGCAGGAGTTCAAGCCCAGCTTTGGCTTGCCTAGTCTGCGCGAGATCCGAGTTCGTTTTTCTGATGTCATTAGGGAGGGCCAGAGACCTAGTTAGAGGAATACGAATGATTGATGATGTAGCCATTATCGTGGCATGTAACATAGGGGAGGGAAGGTCAGAGGAAGATGCCGGTCCGATCCTCGATCAATTTGAAGCATGTTATGATGGGAATTTGTCGTTGGTTAGGAAGGATGAGGGCATGAATGCTTTTGACTTCCTAGGGGCCAGAATACGCATCACGCCTGATCCGATTACTGCGCATATTGCTCCCAAAACAAGGACCCAACGTCATCTCGCCGAATCAGGGGTCTTGAAAGTGCAGTCAATGCAGGATTTTTCGTCTTTTTCAAGAAAATCGACCAAGAAATCCATTCTGTTTGTCAATATGTTGAGGATGTCCCGATCATCGACCTCGGACGACGCCACGTTGGCAGCGGTTACTGCTATTATGTTAGAAGCAAGCCTCCGGGATCACCCCCCGGAGGTCTCTCTCGCATCTTTAGCAAAGTTTGCTAAAGTATCCGGGAGTCACTGGAAAGACACTCTTTCCAGTTTGTACCCCGGACTGGCGAAATACTACGATTTGGGGAGGTAATCCCCTCGTTACCGAGTTTGGGAAAAGGGTAAGCACGGGTGATCTGGTGGAGTGCAAGCAGGGAGCTTAATAGGATCACTTGAGAAAAAAAAGAAAGGTTGTAACCAATTTTGTTTTCGGGTTTTTCTGTTTTTTTGTTGCGTTTCTGCCTTCTCTCGATTTTTGCTCGTTTGTGCACGCTCATTTTCGGGAATATATTGCTTAATACGTATTTTCATTACTTTAAAGTTTTTTCCAGATTTAAGACCGGTAAGGAAACTCTGCGATATACGATACGGACCTGTTTGAACGGAGATTTATGGGATATGATTTTTTTTTTTTTTTGAAGTAAGCAGGCAACTCTGCGTTTGCAAACCCGGCCAGCCCGGGTCTATTTTTGCGAAGACACTTCGTGAGATCTGACTACCTTGACCCGGCCAGCCCGGGTCTATTTTGGCAAAGACACTTAGAGAGATCTGACTACCCTGACCGCAAGGTCTAGAGTGCTGGCCGTCCCTATCTCAAATGTAGCTGTCAGAAGGAAGAAGATCAGAAGGATTGCCTTCGGGGCCCACTCTGGGTCGACCATGCCATCTGGTATCTCCTAGCCCATCCTGACGTCCTTTTTCCGAACCTGTCCTCGACAAGGTTTAGGACTTCGATGTTCATTCCCTTCCTGCGCACCACTTGGAAAGACGCGGTCAGGGGTTGTGTCATCTTCATGTTCATCAGGGAGATCATGACCAACTACATCACCGAGCTCGAGAAGGACGATCAACTCTCTGCGGAAACAGTTCTTCGCGATGAAAGGCTATGGAGGTACCATACCCCACCAGCCTTGGACAGGATCTTGCTTCCCACGGGGGTTCCTGCCAGACCGCGAAGGTAGCACTGGTGTCACCGCGCAGGCTTGCACGCAGAAGAAGAAGCTGCCCGGAACCTCTCCCTGGCCAAGGGTGGCTTAACTTCCAGCCGGTTCCAGCAGCTCGGCAGCAACTGCGGCAACATGCAGCTTCCCAGCGGCAAGCCGCTGACCAAGCAGGCGCTTCGCGACTCAACTAGGCTCCGCAAGCGCAAGCAGCCGAGCAGCAGCCACCTATCCTCGCCACTCTAGTTGCGGTCCGTCCACTTGGTCAGTCGTCCCATGCAGCGGCTGATGCGGGCTACTCCCTCGAGGAGCTGTCTGCTGTTGAATCAGCACTTTCCATGAGCACCAGGAGGCTGGAGCATCAAACGGAGGCTCTCTGAAGGAGACATATCAGCGCAGGGGGTCCTCCGCTCGCGCTGAATCTCCACGGTCACACTCCTCTTCCCTCCCTTCTTAGTCTATACACCCCTTCCTCTTTTCGTACCTACTTTCTTTCCTTCTTGTCCCCTTCCCCACTCCCCCCTTTTTTTCTCTCTCCTTTTTTCTCTCTATTTTTCTCCTTTATTCTTCTTTTCTTCTTTTCTTCTTTTCTTTTTTCTTTTTTTCTTTTTGGTGAGAAGGCCCCCTTGTTTTTTAGGCACTTCCCGTCGGAATCAAACCAATTTTCACTGCATGCACCATCCGTGTCCCGCAGGATGTTGACATGGGTGGAAAGATGATAACTCTGCCGAATGGAAGACTCAAGTGGGAAAGAAAGAAGCGTACTCAGGAGGTCTTCCTGCACATTAGATACACGAGCAAGATTATGGAAGCCTTCTCTGTCAGGAGGGTCATCCAGGACGCACTGAAACGCGTGGTAGGGGAGGAGGCAGACTCCTGGCTTGACGACACCATGATCGGCTGGACGTACAACGACCCGATCGAGGCATTCGTCTGCAGACCGAAGAGGACCTTCAAAGACTTCAATCTTGAACAATGGTCTAGGGACTATGACGCTGCACGGTGCCCCTGTAGGTTACTAAGGTACCTCGCGCTCCTCAGCGACATACCGACTGAGGTCCTTCCAGAATCAACTCACCAGCATGTGGTGACCATGAACCCAGACATCACCAATAACTATAGGCTCAGAACCATGCCGAAGCAAGGACTCAACCATGTTCCATTAAAAGCCTTTGACATTGAGGAAGCCCTCTACGAGCTGGGACAGTTGCTCGACAAGATTGCAGAATGCATAGATGACGTGGCGCGACTTTGCGATAGGAAGAGGAAGTTGGTGAAGAAGTTGGCACTTGACAAGGCGAGGAAGAAGATGTGCAGCTACTGGGAGAAGCACAGGCACATCTTTGTTGAGCCCATCGGCCAAGCCAATGTGAAGACGGAAATCGAGGTCCTCACTGGGAGATTCCTGGTTACTGCCAAAGATAAAGCCGCGAACACCCCAACCTTCGTATGCGATAACATTATTAGAGAATTCGCAGTGAAAAGGCTATCGAGTCCTGACTTTGTCTTACTGCACGAGGAACCTGAGCTAATAGAAGCAGCCATCCATGCGGAGACCGAGCACCTGGTAGTGCTACCTCACGCCGGAGCTTCCCTTCCATACCTCATGGCAGTCTTCAAAGCGCACAAGTGGTCCTTTCGTTGGATCACAAACACGGCGAATTCTGTTGTCTCGTCCATGGCCGAGCTCTGTGCCTGCCTGCTCTGTTTCTTCACCCCCTCCGTAAGAGAATTATGCAAAGATAGGAGCAACTTAATGGAGGCAGAGTACGACGTCAAACCCAATCTTTGGTGGCCTACTTCTTCGGTCGGTGAGATTGCTGCTAACCTTGCGACAATCCTCACACCAGAGTTCTCTGCTGATATTACTAGATGCTTCGAGTTGATCCCCACTGACACACCGGAGCACAGCCTGGTTGTTGCGGTCATATTCTTCGTGGAATGCGCCATGAAACACAAGTGTGATTAGAGCCCAAGGGACTCGGTTAAGGTGCGGGTCTCCGAGAGCGGCGCGTTGATTCCCTCGTGGGCAAGCAGGCATCTTTGCCCCACTGACGAATCTATGTTCTTTACGGAAAAGGAAATAATATGGGTCACTGAATGGTGCGTTTCGCACAGCCTCGTGCAACTAGGTGGTGAGGTTTGGAGGCAGGTGCTTGGAATACGGATGGGTCTGTCCTGCTCACCAGTTTGGTGCGATGTGTACTTCTTCATGGACGAATACCAAGCGATGTGTAGGATGCTGCGAGAAGGACTGAGCGAGGTGGTTGCTTCCTTCAACGACACCTACCGTTACGTGGACGATATCTGCTCTTTGAATATACCCTCGGCCAGGGTCTGGTTCAGGAAGGATTGTGACCAGAGTACCGATGCCAGATGGATCTACCCCGCTGACTACATTAAAGTAAAGGAAAACACGGAGGTTACTGATAACAATGGCCAGGACATCGTCGCCAATTTTCGCACCATGACAATCACGATTTCTTCTAGCGAGAAAGGTGAGTTCACCACTTCCAAAAATGACAGAACAAGGGGCCTGGGTTTCCAACCCTGCAGGTTCACACGCTTGCGCTCCAACAGGAGTACGGCGCAATCACTGCACGTTATCACGACATAGACTGCTCTGATCCTGATTCTGCGTACTAAGCCAACAGAGGCCACGCACGAGATCCGACGCCTGGTGACCTGCATGACGGATAACGGCGATGACTCACGCGGGTGATGGAATGTCGTCAGGACAGTTTTCGAGAACCATCAAATGTATCATCCAAGTAGGGTGAACGTGCAGACAACCCTTGAGTCCCTAGAGGAGAACCACGGTATGGACTAATGTTGTCTGTGTATGTGTTTGTGTGGGTGTGTGGTGTTCGGGGGATTGCAGACCTGGCAGGGTTAGTTGTCCCCCGCGCCAACTGACCCGTCCAGTCCTAAGCAACCCCTTGGGAGGGATAGCGGGTGGGTCACACACACACACACACACACACACACACACACACACACACACACACACACACACACACATACACACACACACACGCATATCCAGGTAAGAAGATGGATCCGGGAAGTCCTGAAGGAGATCCAAGGAGTTAACACCTCCAAGGTACGAATGGCTAGGCTCGAGTAGGTTGAAACCCACCCCCCCTCCTCCTGTGTTTCCCTGTTGATTCCCGAAAGAGTTGTATGCTCCGACCCCCCCTTTTTTTTCCTCCACTCAGGCTAAATGGGACCACGGAACCGTGCGCTAGCTTTCATAAGGTAGTACAGTGGTTTGGCGGACGGACATGTAGAATAAGAATTGGCAACTGGATCCTGACTTGCATTGCACGCGCAAACAGACTGAAATAAGACTCCCTGCCCTCGCAACGATACGGAAGTTGCTTTCTGAGCAAGCTCCCCTGAACCACCCTTTTTTCCTTTGCTCCTTTTTGCCTTTTCCTTTTTCCCGTTTTTTTGTCAATTTTCTCTGGTTTTATTTAGTTGCCCCCCTCTTTTTTTATTTTTTATTTTTTATTTTTTATTTTTTCATTTTTTCTTTCTTTTTTTTCTTCCTTTCTTTCTTCTTCCCCCCCCCCCCCCTTTTGTTTTAGCTTTATTGTATTGCTATGCCCGCAGAAAAACAGGCGTCCTTTTTGGCCACAATCGCAACCGATTATCTGCGAGGGTTCGATAACTTTTGAGAAAGGTTACCAATCGGCCCACATCTACGGACGAGGGACTCTATCGATGACAGTCCAGGCTTCTGCATCACCGACTCGGTTCGATCGAAGTATACTTAAGCATGATGAGCTTGGCCTACGGAGACACTTCCGGTTGAGTGCGAATTCCGCGTGATTCAAGGGGAGACCAGTTTTGCGATTGGCTCGAGGCGCCAGGATGGACGTCGACATCGATCCGGACTACAAGGAGGACGCCGCCGAGTCACAGGAAGGGGTATCGTCATGAAGCCTACTGGCCTGGACCCGCTTGCTCTCCTCACGCTCCTCTGCTCTCTCGCTTTCTGCTTAGCGCTTGTGCCCAACGTTCTCATCGGGGAAGTACTCTGTTGGGTCTGCCAGACGGAATGCGCAATGCTCTCCCGCTAGCAGCACTTCTCGCGCCTCATTCGCGCTACTGCATTCTTTTTCGCCGCCCTCAGTGCTCTTTGTACCCTTGCGCTCCTCGCTGCTGCGCTTCTCCTGCAAGACCTGTTGGCTTGACCAGCTGAGGCACCACGCAGTGATCCTCCGAGTCCTTGCTGCCTGATTGATGCGATAACATCACCGAGACTCTCTCATTGAACATGGGGCAATTAGAGACAGTCGAGAGATCATCCATGGAACTTTCCGCGTGCATCTTCCTCGCTTACCTTGCCTTGCTCTCCCTGCTGGCTGTCCTCTTCTTCCCCGCCACTTTCCCGGCTGCTACCCAGCAGGCGCAGGACTCACGCTTCTCACACTGCGAACGCTTGCAGCATGATCGTCAACCCGATCCTGACACTTTGGGCCTTCGGCTTCTCCTCACGGTCCACGATCGCCATGTTAGACTGGTCGTCCTCGTCCCTCAGCTCCCCCCCTGTGCAAGACGCCTGCATCCCATTCCCCTCCCCCCTCCCCCCTTTTTTTCACCCCCTCCCTAAAAGACCCCCCCTTGTCTTACTCTCGGCCTTCGGACGACAAAGAAAGGTCTCCCCTCTGATGACGATGCTAGTGGCAGGCAATAGAAAGGCCTCAAGGAGAGCCCACCCCGCCAGTGGATCTGGTTGGTTGTCCCTCGCACTTGGATGCAGTAAGAGGGCAAGTTTCTCTTCTTCTACGCTACCTTTCTCTTTCCCCGACCTATCCCCCATGATCTTTTTGCTAAAGACTTTAATTGTTTTTCACAATGACAATGTGATTTCTCACTTTGGGCATATAAGTCTTTTTTTGAACTTCCTGTGGTTCTTTTTTTTGGTGTAATGGTTGTTGAGTTTCTCCATAGCTACTCTGGTTGACACCTCCCCCTCCCCTATCCTTCTCGGATTTGCAGTGGGATGGTTATGTTCGTATACGCTAAGCTTGCGACCTGTCCTCCTGATACCTGCGCTTCGGCCTTCGGTCCTAATTAAAAGCGCTCTTGATGGATGGCTGATCGCACTTGCGTTCTTTCTTCTTCTCCCTTGTTCTACATTATTTTCTGTTGACGAAGCGGAATATGTCCCTTTCCCTACCACTCCATGTCTGATGCTAACTTTATTTTTCATCTTCTATATATATACTGTCTTTGCAATGACAGCGACTGTTATGCGACCTTCCTTCCAGACAGGGTGCAGCCTTGGCCTGATCGGTCTAACTCTTGCCTCGAAATATGCTCGCATATAAGGTCCGACCTAGCCTGTTCTTACACATACCACCTAACCACTGCTTCCCGGAAGCTGGCCGACGAGTTGAGAGAGAGTTTTTCAGGGGCCCTTGAGGAATTTATAGTTGCGAAAAAGGAGGTAGGTGCTAGGAAAAATGAAGATTGAGGTAGGGAGGGTAAGGGGGAGTTCAGGGATAATCGCCCGACTAAAGCCATGTCAATCCTACGAAGTCTGATCATAGCCAATCAGAATCGTTGAGTAACAAAGATTTCCTCTTACACAACGCGTCTCCTTGGCTAGAGGGGAGGAGGAAATCGACAGGGTATTCTGGCGCAAGGATAAGAGCAGAAAGACAAAGGGTGCGAAGGACATCACGAAACTTAGCCAAGATTCAGAAGACCAATAAGGAGAGAAAAGGCGTGCAAGACGAAGGAGAGATGAGAAACGGTTACAGAGAGAGAGAGTAAGCGAGGGTGCGAAAAGAGCGTCAAAGGAAGCAAAGAGGAGGAAGCTCGCATGCATGGCGCCAATTACGAAAGCAAAAAGGGGCACCAAAACAATTACAACTCTTTTCTGAATCCTACGCTAATTCAAAAATTGAAAACACCATATCCGCGCGTAAAGTGGACGCGGGAAAAGAAAGTCCTACATCTATTCATATTCACAAAAATTCCCTAGAGTTTTCTACGACGCAGTAAGGAACATTCACACACAAAAAGGACACGTTGGGTTCCGTGCATTCCGAAGTTCCTAATTGTCGAGCCAAATTCCCAACCAGCTCGCTAAGGCGCGTGTAATTCTCATGCATTTCCTGAATAACGAAAAGATGGAATTCCAAAAACCAACAGAACTTGACAAAAAAAACACGGGTCTCAGCAATGCGCATTAATCCAAAAACACAGACACAAGGCCCTGTTGGCCTTTTTGTAAAAAGACACACATGATTCAAAAAAAAGAAGGGGGGGGGGGGGGGGGGGGKGTTGGAAGATGGCAAATGTCCGGAAGCTGTCGCGCCACATATGTGACCATCAAGGGGTTCCAAAATTATGCAATCTCCTGATTGTATGAATGAAAACTACTTTACATGGCGGAGAAGGAGGAAGGGGACGAGGGGATGAGTGAGGAACCGAGCGTATCAGCACTAGATCGGGCCACACTCCATGTTGTCGCCAACTTCAATTGCAAGACTTTCACGACTCCATTGGCTTGCAAATCCTCTACCATTCAGCCTTGTCATGTGCAACCTTCTGCTCCTTCTGCTGGCGGGGGTCGTCCAGGTGACACCATCATGGTCCGCCGGATCTCCACTGGTTCTGCTTCATCACTGGAAATCCGCTCGGCGGTAGTCGACGAGGTGTGGGTGATGGGGGGGTGTAGGCCATTCAGGTGGGAGGGGAGTGAAGTAGTTAGATGCTTTGTCACAGAGATCGACAAAGCGGACGATCCGGTGCACGCGAGGGAATCGATGATTGGGTCGGGAAAGGGATAGGAGATAGTTGCGGTATAGGGTTGGAATGGTGCGGAGGAAGTTGTCGCGTAGGGACTCGTAGGTCTTCATGGCACGAAAGGTCCCAAAGATGCTACAATACAACTCCATATGGTTGTATTGTCTCCAGGTGACACAAAAAAGGAGAATGTTGAGAGGAAAGGAGGGAGCGCGATGGGGATTGATTCTACATAGAAGTCGCGCAATGAAATGGTGACAGAAAAGTGGATTGGCGAAGATACGGTAATT